GCTCCATGTCGGAGTGACAAGAGCAGGACCAGAGCCCCAGGCCCAGGCGTCACAGGCGGTTCGGGACCCCTCCCCGTGGCCGCCTTGGCCGTGGGTGGTGTGAATGAATCCCCCGGCCGCCGCAGACCAGGCCCCCTGAGCAGCCCGGGTCCGTCCTCCCCCAGGAAGGACACCGACCCGTCCACCTACCGGATCCACGCCGGGGACGTGTATCTGTACAGGGGCCGGGGTCTGCTGAACGTCAGCCGGATCATCGTCCACCCCAACTACTCTGTCTTCTTCCTGGGGGCAGACATCGCCCTGCTGAAGCTGGCCACCAGTGTGAGGAAAACACACACTCTCGCGCCGGTGGCTCTGCCGTCACAGTCTCTGGAGTTCACTGACAGTGACAACTGCTAGACCACAGGCTGGGGCAGGGTCAGCTTGTTCGGTGAGAACCAGAGGGACTCGGGACGGGCACACGTGGGGGTCCTGGGAGGCTCATGAAAGATTAGCGCTTGGTTTGCACCTTCTGTGGTCTCTCTTGCTAGGGTTGGGGGGCAGGGTTCAGGTGAGCTGCCCTAGGGATACAAGCTCATAAAACAGAGAGAGGAAAGAAAATGAGCCTTTGGGGTGGGTGGGAGGAGGCAGCGACCGTGCTGTGCGTGTGTGTATAGAACACGTATTTTATGTATAGAACGCATATTTTATGCATATTCTCATTGCAAGACATTTTCTTCATTTTGTGGAAAAGAAAATGGGTTCAAGGAGGGCACAAATTTACCCATCTGTCCATCCCTCCACTGAAGGTTTCAGAGACCCTGAGGCTTTCTTCATTTCCCGCTTTGGGCCTCTATTCTTTGAAAGGCAATACCTGGTGCTGTTCTAGAGCGCCTAGGTCCCGTCTCCCTTTGCTAGAGCGCGCGCGCGCGTGGGTCCCGCCTCCCTTGACTAGAGTGTGCGCGCGTGGGTCCCGCCTCCCTTGGCTAGAGTGCGCGCGTGGGTTCCGCCTCCCTTTTCTAGAATATGTGTGTAGGGTCCCCTCTCCCTCTTCTCCCAATTTAAGAGGTATTGGTGGATGGGGTGGTACGGTAGTGGGGGGTGGGAGTGGGCGCAGTGACTCACGTCTGTAATCTCAGCACTTTGGGAGGCCAAGGTAGGAGGATCGCTTGAGCCTAGGAGTTCAAGACCAGCCTGGATAACACAGGGAGACTCCTTCTCTACAAAAAACAATCTTTTAATGGCACACACCTGTGGTCCCAGCTACATGGGAGGCTGAGGCAGGAGGATCCCTTGAGCCCAGTAGATTGAGGCTGCAGTGGGCTGTGTTCATGCCGAAACCCTGACTCTACTAAAAACACAAAAAGTAGCCAGGCATGGTCGTGGGCACCTGTAATCCCAGCTACTCAGGAGGCTGAGGCAAGAGAATCGCTTGAGCCTGGGAGGCAAAGATTGCCATGAGCTGAGATTGCGCCCCTGCACTCCAGCCTGGGTGACGGGGCGAGACTCCACCTTAAAAAAAAAAAAATTAGCAGGGCATGGTGGTGCATGCCTGTGGTCCCAGCTACTTGGAAGGCTGAGGCTAGAGGGTCGCTGGAGTGTTGCTGGAGCCTGGGAGGCGGAGGCTGCAAGGAGCTATGATTATGCCGCTGTACTCCACTCTGGCATTTCCATTCTGCGTCCTTGCAGCTTTAGAGGTTCTCCTCTTTGACTCCACCTTAGGCCATGCAGGCTAAGCATCCCACGTCCTGAGCTGAGGCTCGGGGCGGGGAGGGGTCCTGCCATGGTGCTGGCTGGGGGCCCCTCCTGAGCCGCTCCTGACACCCGTGGTTGGTTTCCGCAGATACGCTGCCGCCTCCTTACCGCCTGCAGCAGGTGAAGGTCCCCACACTGAGCAACGCAGACTGTGAGCAGCAGATCCACGATGCTTTTCCCGGTGCTGGAGACAGAAAGTTCATCCAGGACGACATGATCTGTGCCGGCCACACGGGCCGCCGCATCTGGAAGGTGACACCTGGCGTCTCTCTCCTGCCATCTCTTTTCCTGTCTGCGGTTCTGAGGATGGACCGGGATGTGCAGGGTCCTGGGTCTCTGGTCAAGCTGGGCCCTCCTTCTCCACAGGGTGACTCAGGCGGCCCCCTGGTCTGCAAGAAGAAAGGTACCTGGCTCCAGGCGGGAGTGGTGAGCTGGGGATTTAACAGTCATCAGCCCAGCATTGGCGTCTACACACGAGTCCAGACCTACGTGCCCTGGATCCTGCAGCAAATGCGCCTCTAAGCCCCGGGCCCCTCCCAGCTCCCTAAAATCCAGCTCATTCCTCGTCTTGGCCACTCCACTCCCTGCTTCTTCCAGCACCCACCTTCTCTGCTCCTCCATCCCACATGGTCCTCACTTCCCTCCGCCTTTTCAGACCTGCACCTTCCTCCCTCACACTGGGAGGAGGAGGCATGGAAGGTGCTTTGAATGGGGGTGAGGTTACGGATGGAAGTCCTGGAGCCAGTTTGCAGTGTCGTCTCATTAAACTTAGCAAACCAAACCAGAAGTGGCCAGTGTGTTCCTGAGTGTGGGTGCGGCTAGCGGGGCGGGGACTGGGGCTTCCTAATGCGGGTGCATCGGCTCTGGACCGTCGGGCTGTAGAAATGGCTGCTCCAGACCAGGCATTCACTGGTGGTCGGGGGAAATGATGCATGGGGGGAAATGATGCATGGGTGGCAAGAGCAGGGGAAATATTCTCAGTGATGACTCTTCTCTTGGGGCCCAGCTCCCAGCCCAGCTCTCCACTAAAAGTACAGGTCAGCCTCATCACCAAATTTCATCCATCTACCATCTATCTACCCACTGAATCCATCCACTCATCCAACCATGAATTCATCCATTCATCCATCCACCCACCCACCCACTAATCCATCCATCCATCCATCCCTCCACCCACCTATCTATTGATCTATCCCTCCACCCATCCACCCACCCATCCATTAGTCCATCCATTTGTCCATCCATCCATCCACTCATCCATCCACGTATCTATTGATCTATCCATCCACCCATCCACCCACCCACCCACTAATCCATCCATCCATCTATCTATCTATTGATCTATCCATCCACCCATCCACCCACCCATCCACTAATCCATCCATCCATCCATCCATTCATCCACTCATCCATCCACCCACCCATCCACTAATCCATCCATTTGTCCATTCTTCCATCCATCCATCTACTCATCCATCCACCTATCAATTGATCTATCCATCCACCCATCCACCCACCCACCCACTAATCTATCCACTTGTCCATCTGTCTGTCCACTCACACATCTAATGCACCCCTCCCTCCCTCTCTCCCCCCTCCCTTTTTCTAGGTCCATGCCATTATTGCAGGGGTTTGGGGTGCCTGGTCTGGGGCAGACTCCCTTCCCTCAGATAAGCAGCAGATAAAGCAAAGTCCACCCCTACAACCTCCCCCTGTCCCCACCCAGGGTTGCTCATCCCAGACCCTGCTCTGGCCCCAGGGCTGCCTTGCTGCTTTCTGGGATGCCCTGCTGATCCCTTGGGCTTTTTTTTTCGGAGGAGGGGAGTGCTTCTGTAAGTTCCTTCTCAGTCCCCTCCCATTCAAGCTCTTCTGAACCCCTGGGCAACTCCTCCACCCATGAGAGAAATAACTGGCACCTGCAGCCCTGTCCAGCCCTGCCCAGTGCCCACCTGCAGCCCTGCCCAGCCCTGCCCAGTGCCCACGGCATCTCCAGGGTGCCGCATGGGAGGCTTCTGGGGAAACCCAAGCAGGGTTGACATCCGTAGTTGCCGGGCCACTGTTTGCCCAGGGGCATTGGAGCATTTAGCACTGAGACTCCCATATGGGCGCCCTGTGTCCACCTCGCAGAAGCTCTGGGACCAGCACCGGGTCAGGGAGGCTGCTGGGCTGTAACAGGGCACCAAGCATCCTCAACCTGAGATGGGGAAATCTTCATTCTCCTTTCTCTTGTACCCCCCACCCCCAAGGTGAGGGCCAGGTAAGGCTGAGGAGGCCCCTGAGCACCCGAAGGGGCAGCCGCACTCTCCTGTTGGAGAAAGGGGCTTCACAGAGAAGCCGGCCCGGGAGCGGGTCTGGGTCTGGTCCCTTCTGGCTTCACACTGTGAACAAAGCAGCAGGGATCTTGTCTCTCCTGGCAGGTTTCTCCCACCGCACCCGGAGAGAACCACACGGGGCAAGGGCTGGATGCCTGGGCTCCCCGACAGAGAGGAGGGGCCTCTGTATTCGGACAGTGGGGTGCAGGGGACAGATCAGGGACAGATCAGAACTGTGGTGAGGGCCCCGTGCCTAAGGAGGGATGCAGCCTGGACAACGGCACAGAACCCACTACCCACAGGTCCTTTTGCAACATTGCAGTGGGAGCCAGAACCAGGTGGGTGCTGTGGCAGTTGGCAGTGTGCCAACCGTCCAGAGGCCCAAAGACCTGGGCCAGGGCCAGGAGTGGGTCTGCAGGCCCTTCACCCACATCACCTGTCACACAATGGCTGTCCCCAGGCCTTCACTCACATCACCTGCTACACGATGGCCGTCCCCAGCACCGCTCAACCCAAGTCACGCGCCGCTAAACGATTGGCCGTCCCCACGGCCCCGTCTACCACACGTCACCTGCTACACAATGGGCGGACGCGTCGCCCGGCACCCTTCACCCCACAATCACCTTGCCTACAATGAGCACGATGACGTCGCGTTCCCGGCAACCGCTCACCCACCATCCAACCAAGCTCACACCGATGGCGCGTCCCGAGCAGCCCTCACCCACGTCACCCGATACACGATGGCCGTCCCCGGCACCCTCACCCACGTCACCTGCTACACGATGACTGTCCCCGGCACCCTCACCCACGTCACCCGCTACACGATGGCCGTCCCCGGCACCCTCACCCACGTCACCTGCTACACGATGACCGTCCCCGGCACCCTCACCCACGTCACCCGCTACACGATGACCGTCCCTGGCACCCTCACCCACTTCACCTGCTACACGATGGCCATCCCCGGCACCCTCACCCATGTCACCTGCTACACGATGGCTGTTCCCGGGCCCTGCCACAGGGACAAAGGGCCCACCCTGATGAGGGACAGGAATCTCACTGATGTTGTCCCCCCTGCTCATAGAGGATGCAGGCCCACGGAGGTGTCCTGTGCCTGTCCCTGGGTCATCTCAACGCTGTGACCCACCCTCTGCTGGGTCTGACAGCCTCTGGGCAGAGCCACGCCCCACAGGGACAGGCCGAGGGTGCCTGCCACTGCATTCTTCCCACTGCTCTGCCGGGAAGGCCCGGGATCTGTCCGCTCCCCATGTCCACCACGTGTGCCCCAAGCCTCACCTCACGATGCTCTAGGCCACACCGCCATGTCCAGCTAATATTTAAAATTTTGGTAGAGACCGGGTCTCACTATGTTGCTCAGGCTGGTCTCATACTTCTCGGCTCAAGCAATCCTCGCACACTCGGCCTCCCAGCGATTGGAATTACAGGTGTGAGCCACTGCACCTGGCCAATTCTCTCAACTTTTTTATTTTTAAATTTTTGTGGGTACATAGTTGTGTATATATCTATCTTGCATGGTTTTATGTGAGACTTATACTAAATCTTCAAGGAACAGATAATCCCCATTTCAAACAAACTCTTCCAGAGACTAGAAAAAAGAGGCCAATGTCCTGACTGATCAGATTTGATGAGTGTCACCTGCAGGACAAGCCTAGACTAATAGAACACAGGAAAACTTCAGGCCGAATTCACTTACGAACACTGATTCAAACATCCCCCCAATTCATTAACAAGCTGACTCAGAAAATGTACTCAGAATTACAGGAAAACCTAATCAGGTCTAAATCAGGTTGGTTTAACGCTTGGGAAATCTAACCGTCTAATTTGCCAGTTAACGGAGCAGAGATAAACCACCTTTGATAATCTAATCGATAAGCATCTGATTCTTTTGGTTGATAAATTCAACCACCAACTGCAATAAAACTCTTAGCAAATTTAGGGGGATCTCATCCAAGCCCACAGCAAACGTCCTACTTAACAGTGGACCTCGGGAAGCCCCTCCTGTGAGTGAGGGACGAGTAGGGACCACCACCCCTCCTTCTGCCCAGTTCAGTGCAGGCAGCCCCAGGCAGCACACACGTGAAGAGAAACAGGCTGGGCGCAGTGCCTCACGCCTGTCATCCCAGCTACTCGGGAGGCCGAGGCAGGCACATCACCTGAGGTCAGGGGTTCGAGATCAGCCTGGCCAACATGGTAAAACCCCGCCTCTACTAAAAATATGAAAATTAGACGGGCGTGGTGGCGCATGCCTGTAATCCCAACTACTTGGGAGGCTGAGGCAGGAGAATCGCTTGAACCCGGTAGAGTGGAGGTTACGGTGAGCCAAGATCGTGCCACTGCATTCCAGCCTGGGTGTGAAGAGTGAGACTCTGTCTCAAACAAACAAAAACAGAAAAACAAAATGAAACAAAAACCAAAGAGAAAGGAACGAGCAGTGTCAGGACTGGAAAGGAAGGGAAGGGGCTGCAGTGTCTGCCCGCAATGCGGTGATCTTCATAGACCATCCAACGTCACCTGCAGACACTGTCAGGGGCACAAGCGCAGCGAGGCAGCGGACTCACGTCAGTGCAAGACCAACAGCTGGCGATACACAGGGCTTCCCGGCCGGGCGCGGTGGTCACGCCTGTAATCCCAGCACTTTGGGAAGCCGAGGCAGGAGCACGGATGGAGCCAAAGCATTCAAGACCAGCCTGGGCAACATAGTGAGTCTATCTCTATAAAAACATTTGTTTTAAGCCATGCAGAGCCTGGGCAACACAGCAAGACCCCATCTCTACAAAAAATACAAAAATTAGCCAGGCGTGGTGGTGTGCACCTGTAGTCCCAGTTACTCAGGAGGCTGAGGCAGGAGGATCATTTGAGCCTAGGAGTTTCAGGCTATAGTGAGCCAAGATCTTGCCATTGCACTCCAGCCTGGGCAACAGAGCAAAGCCCTGTATCAAAAAAAAAAAAAAAAAAAGTTTTTATCAATAATTGTATTGGCTCCAATGTCTGTTGAAGAAAATTGCTTTTGTTCATTTAAAGCCCTAAGCAAAACTTGTCATCAGAAACGAAATTTACCCACTAACTTCTGAAGATTCACCTACTGACCACCCTCATGGACCTCCTACACTTGAGCTCCCTGACGGGAGTGTCCTCTACACACAAATCGTCTTGCTGGCCGGGAAGACATGAAAACCCTTGGTTTAGTTCTCCCTCCACACCAGCTGTGGCAGTGAAAGAAAGACAGAGATTTTGTTGGATTTAAGTTGAAAGCACAATATGAAGTCTCCTGATTTCAGAAGAGAAAGGGCCACCGTATCCAAGACCATGTGAGGAAAAAATAACAAGGAAGAGAGTCCCGCCCACCAGAAACGGCGACGAATCTGTCATCGGCCCAGGGACGGAAAACGACTCCCAGGCTGGTCCCCACATTCCACCTGCCCCAACCCCAGAGCCAGCTCCTCCCTGGGCTCCACTGTGGTTCCCGGGCGCTTGATTCCAGCCCATCCCAATATCCAGTGATGTTTATTATTATTATTTTGAGACGGAGTCTCGCTCTGTCACTCAGGCTGGAGTGCAGTGGTGTGGTCATAGCTCCCAGCTCAACTTCCTGGGATCAAGTGATCCTCCTGCCTCAGCCTCCCCAGTAACTGGGACTACAGGCGCATACCCCCACACCCTGCCAATTTTATTGATTTTTTTGTAAAGATGGAGTCTCACTTTGTTACCCAGGCTGGTCTTGAACTCCTGGGCTCAAGCGATTCTCCTGCCTCAGCCTCCCAAAGTGCTGGAATTACAGGCGTGAGCCACTGCACCCAGATGCCAACAGTAAGTGTTACTGACATCTTTCTACTCGGTCTTTTCTTTTTTCTTTCTTTTTTTTTGAGACGGAGTCTTGCTCTGCTGCCCAGGCTGGAGTGTAATGGACGATCTTAGCTCACTGCAACCTCCACTTTCCAGGTTCAAGCGATTCTCCTGCCTCAACCTCCCAAGTAGCTGGGATTACAGGTGCCCGCCACCATGCTCAGGTAATTTTTGTATTTTTAGTAGAGACGGGGTTTCGCCGTGTTGGGGCAGACTGGTCTCAAACTCCTGACCTCAAGTTATCTGCCTGCCTCAGCTTCCCAAAGTGCTGAGATGACAGGCATGAGCCACGGTGAGCAGCCTGCACCCCATCTCTCGTCACCTGTATCAGTGTCCTGGGGCTGCTGCACAAAGTGCTGCACACTGAGGGGCAGAATCTTATTCTCTCTCAACCCTGGAATGTCAGCAGGGCTGCTAGCTCCAGAGGCTTGGAGGGAGGGGCCGCTCCGTGCCTGTCTCCTTGTGTCCGGTGTTGCTGGCTGTCCTTGGCTTGTGGCCACATCACTCCCATCCCTGCCTGTCTTCCCTGGCCTTCCTCCACCGCTCTAGGTCTCAACCCCCTTCTCCTTTCTCTTATAAGGATGCCTGTCGTTGGATTTAGGGCCCACCCTAATTCCAGGATGATCTCATCTTGACATCCTTAATTACATAATTAATTCTATCTGCAAAAACCAATTTCCCTATAAAGTCACGTTCACAGGTTCCGGGCCTCAGGCTTGAATGTGTGTTTTCGGCAAATGCAGTTCACCTTGCCACGGCACCTGGCTCCCGACCCCCGAGGTATTTTCCTCCTTCACCTGCACGTCCTGTAGGAGCCTCTCTGTGCAGACACAGCACTGGGCAACTTCTAGAACCTTCTCCACACAACAATGTCCAATTTTCGTCGACCTCACACGATTCCAAGTATAAAGCACCGAATAAAAGATAAAAGAAAAGTGTCACCTGCATCTAGTGAGAATGCGACGTTCTGGCCTCCGCACAGGGCGAGCTTGGCTCACCCAGCCTGGACTCAGCGGGGCCCCGAGGCCTCCTGGGCCTCTCCCAGGCGAGCTTGGCTCACCCAGCCTGGACTCAGCGGGGCCCCGAGGCCTCCTGGGCCTCTCCCAGGCGAGCTTGGCTCACCCGGCCTGGACTCAGCGGGGCCCCGAGGGCTCCTGAACCTCTCCCAGGCGAGCTTGGCTCACCCAGCCTGGACTCAGCGGGAGCCCGAGGGCTCCTGGGCCTCTCCCGCCTATCCCCCACAGCCCAGGATCCCTGTCTGCAGGCTCCAGGCCTCCCTGGAGGCCCTGGCCATGCTTGCCCCGCGGCCCTCAGACTGGCTGCGCTTTGCGGATCTTGGCTGGTTCAGGGCTGGTGCCGTCCCCGCCTTACCTGGGCCTCCTGGACCCTGCCTCCCGGTAGCTGGGTGGGGGCCCAGGAGGGTCCTGCACTGTGATGCAGCTGCCACATTATCCTGGTGTCCTGGGAGGGAGAGTAATCACCAAGAAAGCTCCCGGGCTAAGCAGCCATCCTCTCTTCTCCTCGGCCCTCTGGGTCTAAACACGGAACCCAGGTGATCCAGACCCGAGCTTCCCTCCCATCAGCCTCTCCTGGCCTCACCTGGCCAGACCTCCCAGGTCTCCCATCCTCAGCTGCTGTCCTGTCTCCTTGCATCTTCAGGTGGAGCTGCCCGTTCCACGGGCCTGGGTAGCACCTTGAAGTGGGCGTGGGTCAAGCGCTCTGGGAGTGAGGGGTGCGACTGCTACCAAAACAGAGCCAGAGGTCCTAGCCCATGACTGGTGAATGCAGCCAGGAGGGAGGGGCACAGGCGGCTGAGAGCCCAGCCCAGGCAGCCTGGGGCTTCTCTCCTCCCCACGTGGGGAGGTCCAGGGCTGGGCATGCAGGCGGAAGTCTGGCTGCAGAGGGTTTCACAGCTGCAGGCCCAGCCTCGGGGACCCACTCCCTCAGCCTCCCGGGAATCCTGAGGCATCGCCAGGAAGCTGCTGATAGCACGGAGAGAGCTGGATTTTCTCCAGCTGGAGGACACGCAGACACACACACACGCTCATTCATACTCACATGCATACACACACTCATACACGCAGGCACACACACACGCTCATTCATACTCACATGTGTGCACACACTCATACACGCAGACACACACACACGCTCATTCCTACTCACATGCGTGCACACACTCATACACGCAGACACACACACACGCTCATTCCTACTCACATGCGTGCACACACTCATACACGCAGGCACACACGCATACATGCATGCACACATATACATGCATGCACACACTCATACACACAGGCACACACACGGGCACACATGCACACATGCTGGCAACCACACAGTCATACACACATGCACACATGCATGCACACACGTACATGCACACACCCACAGACACACAGACACACATGCACACACTGATACACATGCACACATACACACATTCACACACGCTTACACTCACACGCATGCACACACCCACACTTACACACATGCTCACATGACTCGTACATGCATGCACACACATGCACACATACACGCAGGCACACACACATGCACACACTTATACACATGCACACACACTCATACACACAAGCACACATACATGCAGGCACACATGCAAGCACACACTCAAACTCACATGCTTGCATACTTACACACTTACATGCACATATGTATGCACACACATGCATACACACACGCACACACATGCACTCACATGCACGCACACACATACATGCAGGCACACACACTAACACATGCGCATGCAGTCACATTTTTGCACACACATGCACACACGCACACATACTCGCATGCACACATGCACACACACATACACATGCACACACACCATATGTATGCACACACATGCACACACATATACATGCATGCACACGTACTCACATGCATGCACACATACGCAAGACACACTCATACACGCATACACAAACAAATGCACACACAATGCACTCACACATGCACACACTCATGCACACATGCTTACACACATGCACACACACGTATACACTCACACATGCACGCACATGCACACACACTCATACATCATGCACACACATGCTCACACATGCTCACACACGCATACACACACATACACACACACACATGCACACTCACAAGCTCACACACATGCACACGCATACACATGCACACACATACATGAACACACTCAGGCATGCACATACCCCATGCCCACACACGTATGCACACACACATGCACAGGCATGCGCACACACCTACACCCACACGTGCACACACACAGGCACACACCCCCACCCATTGACAGTGCTCCCTTGTGTTCCCACACCCCCACGATCACCCCCGTTACAATCTCATGGCAAAGCAAGACTCCTGGAGGAGAGGCTGTAGGGTTGGGCCTCGGCCTCTGCTGCCCCTGTCGGCCCCAGAACGTGTCTGCCACCTGGGCTGAAACAGGCATTTGCTGCCAGGGCCCCGAGGCACAGCAGTGGGAGGCTGGGGCCTAGGGGGCTGGGCCCTGGCCTGAGAATGCAGCTCTCCACCCTCTGAGAATCCCAGGAGGTGATGGCCCCTCTCCCAGAGCAGGGTGCACCCCTCCTGCAATCTGAGGTTTGTATCGGATTAAAATAGGTTCCTGGGGCCCATCCAGAAGCTCTGGCTGTGTGGACTCTGCAAACTCCCTCCAAGGGCTGGAGCCTGAGCCTGGGGCGGCCACCATGGAGCAGGCGGGTCCCCTGGCCCTAGGTCCAAGCATCTCTGACGGGCCCTCTGGCTGATGCTTTTGCACCCGTGGAAGTGGGTACAAGTGCCTGTCCTGTCCCGGGTGGCCGGAGAGGCTGAGGGAGAGCCAGTTACCAGGCAGTTTCTCCTCTGAGGCCCAGGTGCTTCCTTGGCCTCTGGAGCACTGGCCATGAGAATGGGCAGCATGGCGACAACCCGGGCACTGTGGGCATTTGGGGCCAGGGATCCTCTGCAGTGGGGCCATCCTGTGCACCGTGGACATTTAGCCCCCCAACCCCGGCCTCTTCCCACTAAATGTGGGTGGTATCCCCATATCCCTGACAACCATACATGTGCCCGGTAGGAGCCACTGGTGTAGACAGGGAACTCGGGTGCGGGGCCCTTGTTGGCCCAGCAGAGGGGATGCGAGGGGCTGGGGGTGGCCCCTGTCCTCATGGTCAGCCTGGTCATGGCCTGGGCTTGCAGCTACTGCTCCCACCCTGGCGGGGAGGAAGGTGTGACCGAGCCCCACCCACTTCCTTTGCAAGGAAGATAAAGCAGCTCCAGGCGGCTCCAGGAGGGCAGCTGTGGCCACAGACCACGGTGAGGACACTGACCACCGGCAGCCATCTGTGGCCTCCAGACCCAGGTCCTGCCCAGCTGTTCCCACCCAGCCCTCTCCACCCTGCACAGATGCTGTGGCTGCTGTTCCTGGTCCTCCCCTGCCTGGGGGGCTCCATACCCGAGACCCCGGGTGAGTCCCGGCCCCACCCCACACTGCACCTCAGGGACTGGGCTAGGACAGAGAGCTGACCCCCTCGTCGAGCAGGGCCTGGAAGCTCCTGGCATTGCAGGAGGGTGGCTCCCTGACCTCCTTCGGTTGTTCCCAGAGCCCGTCCCCGAGAATGACCTGGTGGGCATCGTGGGGGGCCACAACGCCCCCCAGGGGAAGTGGCCGTGGCAGGTCAGCCTGAGGATCTACAGCTACCACTGGGCCTCCTGGGTGCACATCTGTGGGGGCTCCCTCATCCACCCCCAGTGGGTGCTGACCGCCGCCCACTGCATTTTCCGGTGAGTCTCGGGCCAGGGACCCCAGCGAGGGGAGGTGGGAGTGGGGCCGCCGCAGACCAGGCCCCCTGAGCAGCCCGGGTCCGTCCTCCCCCAGGAAGGACACCGACCCGTCCACCTACCGGATCCACGCCGGGTGTATCTGTACGGGGGCCGGGGTCTGCTGAACGTCAGCCGGATCATCGTCCACCCCAACTACGTCGCGGCCCACCTCGGATTCGACCTGGCCTTGCTGCGGCTGGCCACCCGCGTGGGCGCAGCAAGCAACGTTCAGCCGGTCACCCTGCCGCCCGAGGCCCTGAACTTCACCCCGGAGGACGAGTGCTGGCTGACCGGCTGGGGCAGGACGTCCTACTACAGTGAGAAGGGCTGGGGGGCGAGGGGCGTGGAGGGGCGTGGGGAAGTTCCCCACTTTTCCCCTCCATGCCCATTCCTGGAGGCAGGTCCCTCGGGGGCTGGTTCACAAGCTCAGAAATAAATAGGACAGGGAAGGAAAGGAGCATCCCGCAGGTCCCAGCTGTCCCCCCGGCGCGGCCTCTCAGCCCCCCGTGGCCGCCCTGATGCTCTGATATTCGTTTTACATTAAAGGTGGTAAAGGGCGTTTCACAGCTCTCCGGGTCTGCCAGCGGCGGGGGCGGAATCAGTTCAAGTCCCCGGGTCCGCAGCCTGCTGCCCTCACACTCTGCTCGGTGCGGGTTTTTGGGGTGGGGGTGGGAGGAAGAATCTGGTTATGTTTTTTGATGGGGGAAGTCACGCTTCTTCCTGTGTTCTGGGACCTTTGGGCTGCAGGCCCCCGGGTGCCCCCCATGTCTGTGTCCTGGGGCTATGACGGGACGCACACCCTGGGCGCTTCACACCACGGAGACGTGTTTTCCCGAGGTCCAGGTGTGGGCAGGGCCCTGCTCCCGCTCCGATTCTAGGGGAGGGCCCCTCCTGGCCTCTCCCAGCCTCTGGTGGCCCTGGTGTCCCGGGGCTCATGACCGCATGGCTCCCATCTCCGCCTGGGTCTTCATGTCACCTTCTCCTCTGGGCTGGGGCCGCCCCTGTTCCGCCTCTCATTAGGGCACCTGTCTTGGAATTAGGGCCGTTCCTAATCCAGCATGGCCTCATCCCACCTTAATCAATCTGCCAAGAATCTATTTCTAAGTAAGATCCTGAAGCTTTGGAGGGACGTAGATGCCAGGACACCATCCAGCCTGGGTCTGTCTGCGGAATCTGAGCCCATCTATCACAGCATAGGCTGAGGTCACACTCCCACCCAGGACAGTTGGGGAAACTGAGGTTCAGGCTGGCTCCAGGTCGGAGTGACAAGAGCAGGACCAGAGCCCCAGGCCCAGGCGTCACAGGCGGTTCGGGACCCCTCCCCGTGGCCGCCTTGGCCGTGGGGGGTGTGAATGAATCCACCGCGTCGGGGACACAGCCTCCTGCTGCTTCCTGACTCCCCTCCTCCACCCCCAGCGCCACTACATCCACCCTACCGCCTGCAGCAGGTGCACATCCCACTGGAAGACCACGAGGCCTGTGAGGAGGGCTACAAGGAGTATCTGCACGCCAGTGCCGACAGGACGGTCATCCCGGAAGACATGCTGTGTGCCGGCAGCCTGGGCCGCGGCCCCTGCATGGTAAGATGTCTGGGTTCTGCCTTGCCCCGGGCGCTCCTCCTGGTCTGGGCCTCTCGAGGCTGGACAAGGAGTCCCGTTGTGCCAAGGCCCCTGGCGAGATGTGTGACTGTCCCCTCTCCCTGCAGGGGGACTCCGGAGGGCCCCTGGTCTGCAGGAAGCGAGGCTCCTGGGTCCAGGTGGGCGTGGTCAGCTGGGGGATCGGCTGCTCCACGATCCAGCTGCCGGCCGTCTTCACAAGCGTCCAGAGCCATGTGGCCTGGATCCGCCGGGAAATCAGGAAGTGTGGGTGAGCCCCGGGTGGACCCGAGGATCCACGGAGGAGGCGGAGGCGGCAGCTTTGTCCCGACTTTCCCTGGTGGGGCTTTCTGATCCCCTCCACCCACACCTCCCACCCACTTCCCCGTGATTCAGCCCCGCTCCCATCCCCCTCTTCCTCCCCTCTCCTTCCCCGCCAGTCCCGAGAGGAGGGCAGAGGCCCCCATGGAGCTGGGGTACCATGCAACTGTGACTATCTCATTAAACAACGGTCTGAGTCAACAGGCTGGTGGTCAGAGTGGTCTTTGGGGCTGCAGAGTGGGTGGTCCAGCTCTCCCGTTTGGAATCCCTGAGCGCTGGGGGAACGGAGCAGGCCTGGCTTGGGCAGGTGGAGTTCGGGTGGGTGAGAGGCTCAGAGCCTCTCCTCCAAGCCTGGGGCCATCACTCCCTATCATGGTTTTTTGTTGCTGTTTTACGGAGTCTCGCTCTGTCGCCCAGGCTGGAGTGCAGCGCCTCCTGAGTATCTGGGATTACAGGCGCCCAACACCACACCCGGCTCATTTTTGTATTTTTAGTAGAGACGGGGTTTCGCCATGTTGGCCAGACTGGTCTCTAACACCTGACCTCAGGTGATTCACTCACCTCGGCCTCCCAAAGTGCTGGGATCACAGCCCACTGCACCTCACCCCTATTGCGTTTTACATGCCGTGTACCCCACAAGCAAGGGTATTGGCAGGTTCACACACAATTCAGAGTCATTTTCAAGATCTCATTCATTCATGCCATTCATTTATTCATTCGTTCTACCGATGTCACTAGGTGGCATGTCCTGGACTATAGGGGAATAACCTTGTCCTACCCCAATCTCAGGACCTGGAGGTGATGGGTGTGTGACAGGGATTTGAAATGCAGCAGGAGGTCGTGTCATAGACAGAAGAGTCCACAGGAGAACAAGAGGCCACTCCCCTGGGTGTCAGTGAGGTTTAGCCAGGAAGGGAAGCCTGAGTGGTCCCCGGAGGCGTCAGGTGCGGCTTGGTTGCAAGGATGAGCCTGCAGGCTGGACAGAGGGCGGTGCCAGTCGGAAAAACCGCTTGCACCTGCAGGAGAAGCCTGGACACCCTTGTATCTCACTGCATCATTAGCCTTGTATCTCACTGCATCGTTACAGCAGTGATAGCAAACTTGCACTGTGCACATAAAGGGAACAATAAAGTTATTTTCACTGTGAGGAAAGAAATTTAACCATTTCAGACTCTGCTACTGGGTGGGGTTCATCCTTCTAAATCACCAGCCCCCAGCTCTGTCCCCGGGGAATTTGGGTAGGACAGGGCTGAGCAAGGCTGGCCTGCACACACTTGGAGAAGTCCTTCCCCAGCTCTGGACCCACACCTCTCCCCTCAACTCACCCCAAGAGAAGTACGACTGGGAAGGGCTGGGGTGGCGTGTCTCGTCCAGATAATTGGAATAGATGGTAAACTACGTGGATAAGTCATAATGAGTGACCAGTTGGAGGAGAGAGGGAGGGATGAGAAGATGGGAGAATGGATGGATGGGTGGGTGGGTGGGTGGATGGAAGAATAGAAGAATAGATGGATGGAGGCTGGGTGCGGTGGCTCATGCCTGGAATCTCAGCACTTTGGGAGGCCAAGGTGGGCAGATTACTTGAGGTCAGGAGTTCGAGATCAGTCTGGCCCACATGGTGAAACCTCAACTCTACTAAAATTACAAAAATTTGCCGGGCATGGTGGCACACACCTGTGGTCCCAGCTACTTGGGAGGCTGAGGGATGAGAATCGCTTGAACCCAGGAGGCGGAGGTTGCAGTGAGCCAAGATCACACCACTGCATTCCAGCCTGGGACACAGAGTGAGACTTTGTCTCAAAAAAAAAAAAAAAAAAAAAAATGGACGGATGAGTGGGTGAGTGAATGAATGTGTGGATGGGTGAATGGATGAGTGAGTGGGTGGATTGGTGAGTGAGTGAATGGATGGGTGGGTAGATGGGTGGATGGGTGATTGTGTGTGTGGTTGAGAGGATGGGTGAACAGATGGGTGAGTTGGTGTATGGATGGATGAGTGGACGGCTGGATGGGTGAGTGAATGGATAGATGGGTGGATGGGTGAGTGGGTGTGTGGTTGGGAGGACAGGTGAATGGATGGGCAAGTTGGTGGATGGATGGATGAATGGATGGCTGGATGGGTAAGTGGGCGGATGGGTGCATGGTTGAGTGGATAGATGGGTGGGTAGACGGGTGGAAGGGTGAGTGGGTGTGTGGTTGAGAGGATGAGTGAATGGATGGATTAGTTGGTGGATGGATGAGTGGATGGCAGGATGGGTGAATGGATGGGCGAGTTGGTGGATAGATAGATGAGTGTATGGCTGGATGGGTGAGTGGATGAATGGGTACATGGTTGAGTGGATAGATGGGTGAATGGGTGAGCGGGTGTGTGGTTAGGAACTTGGGTGAATGGATGGGTAAGTTGGCGGATAGATGGTAAGTGGACGGCTAGATGGGTGAGTGGATGGATGGATGGGCGGATGGGTAAGTGGGTGGATCTCAATGGCTCAGTGATCTCAGTTTGGGTATCATTTTGGACTCAGACACACCTGACTGAGCATTATGCATTGTGCGTAATTAACTGGGACAAGCATACATCTTCTGTACACGCAAGAACATTCATATTATTACTATTATTATTTCGAGACAGAGTCTCACTTTGTTGCCCAGGCTGGAGTGCAGCGGTGCGATCTGGGCTTACTGCAACCTCTGTCTCTTGGGTTCAAGCAATTCTTCTGCCTCTGTCTCCCGAGTAGCTGGGATGACAGGTGTGTGCCACCACACTTGGCTAATTTTTTTTTTTTTATGCTTTTGGTAGAGATGGGATTTTGCTCTGTTGGCCAGGCTGGTCTTGAACTCCTGGCCTCGTGATCTACCTACCTTGACCTCCCAAAGTGCTGGGATTACAGGCGTGAGCCACCGCGCCCGGCCCCTCCCATTATTGTTTATAACAGCAAATTATTGGAGACTGCCTAAATGTCCATGGAGAACGGGTGAAATAAGTTTCCCTAAATCCATACAGCCGGGTACGACATGCCATTAAGCAGGATGTTTCTCCTGCAGGTCGTCAGCAGGGAGGGAAGTGTTCACAGCACCGTCACCGCACAGCTTTCTCTCGTGAACACACGTGTGTACGCCGGGGAAGTGACGGCGGGCGGTGAGAGCGGTGACTGCAGGGTATAGAATTATGCAGAACTTCTACTTCAAAAACGTATTTTGGCCGAGATCTTTTACCTTAAAAACTATTTCACATTGGAAAAACATAATGTTTTCTGGTTTTTCAAGTCATATCGATGTGGGTTTTAAGCTCATCACAAACTCAATGGCTCCATTAAAACGCCTATTGGGAAATGGTCTCCCAACCCAGGAAGTGCAGCTCAGCGGCCTCGTCACAAAGGGGTGCCCAGTGTGAGCAGCGGGCACCCGGCGTGCAGGGTGCCAGGGGAAGACCAGCAGACGTCCGGGACGAGGAGCAGACTCCATCCTGTGCCCGGGAAGCGTCTTCCCAGGACCCCGGGAAGCAGGCGTGCAGGGCGTTGCAGGTCTGTAAGAGCTGACTCCACACCAGGGAAGCCAGACTGATGGACACCAGGGTTCCATTTGTACACAAAGGCTGAGTGACCTTGGGACATGGAAGAATCGTGGTCATGAGCCCTTCCTCTCCCACGTCCCAGTGACCTCGGGCTCTGCACACTCTGTTCTGAGGCCCCTGGGCCCCTGAGCTGGGACCCTCTGCCTGGTCTTTTCTCCAGCCCAACCCTTTTGCAACACTGGCCTGAAGCAGCCACATCCTTTGCCTAATGATGTCCCTGGGCTCGGGCGCCCTGGCCGCAGGCCTGGACTTGACCCTATCATTGGCCAGGGCCTCTGACCCCAGTCTTAACGGTTGCACGGCCCCCAGTCCTTCCTCTGATCCTATCACCAAACGCTCTCATGGTGGTCTAGTCCTGACCCTATCAGGAGAAACAGGTGTCCTGTTCCCAGGTGCCATTGCCCAACAGCCGCAGCCACGACCGTCTGGGAGGGATGGGCCCGCATCTCCGTGGCCAGCACAGAAAGCAGGACACAGGGTGTTTCAAGAGCTGGCCCTCGTCCCGCCCTTGTGTCCCTTGCTGTGCCGTGGTGGCCTTCCCAAGAGTGAGCCCCAGGCCGAGGTGGGGGTGTGAGGACGTCAGCCTTGCCGTCTCCATTCTCCCTCTCCCCCGAGGGCCGCTGCCCGCTGGCCCTGGCAGGAGAGGCTGGGACATCTTGCCCTCCCTCCAGGTCTCCCCTGGGCTGTTTCTCCAGGAGCCTCCTGGCTCTTTCCAGGCCTGGGAAGCAAAGCGTTCTCTGATTGGCCGTGGGGCTCGGCCCTGCCTGGGCTGTCCCAAAGCCTCCCAGGTTCAGACTCCCAGCCCTGAATCCCAGCAGCTTCTGGCCACTCCACCCACCCACACTCCGCCACGCCCAGCGTGGGTGGCCCCAGAGCCAAGCACCCTGGCTATCCCATGCCCCGCTCCGGGCCCTCTGGCTCCCTCTGTCCACTCCAGTGCCGTCTGCCCAGGACCCCTGGACGGGCAGGGCCGAGGACAGACAGGACAGCCTGGCCTGGGACCCCCGAAGTGGAGCTCAGGGCCTGCCCCCCACTCCCTGGCTGGAGGCGGCTCCAGGCCTGGGTGTGCTGTCTCCCCAGCCACCTTCCTTGTGGTTCCCAAGGCACAGCCAGCCCCGAGGACTCAGTCACTGTCACCACTGGCATCACCAGCCATCCAGAGGCCACTCAGAGATGGGAGCTCAGCGGGCAAGGGCCTGAGCTGGGGTTAGAAGTGCTTTCCTGAGTCACCAAGGAGAGGCTTGTTCCTGGTGGATGAGGAAGGGGACGGAGGGTGGGGCTGGCGGCGAGCTGGGGGCTCCAGCCAGGAGAAGGAGACTCTGCTACCACTGGCTGAGCTGCTCAGCCTACCCAGAGTTGGGGCGAATTCCATTATGGAGCCCTGCGTGGAGTCCCCCTGCAGTGATGTCCACACTGCACCTGCCAGGACGTTCCAATGGGCCAGGGCCACAGGTGTCTCTGTGAGGAAGAGAACCGTCTGCCCTGGCCACCAGCGGAGGAGAGCTGGGCCCAGGGTTGGGCCGATGTGTGGACCTGGGATGACAGAGCCTGGGGTTGGCCATGGGGTCCCGGGTGCTGGATTCCATGGCCAGCACTTGGCTCCCCTGGGCCCCGTTTCCATCCGTGCAGTGATGATTTGGCCTCAGGTCATGGGCCCAGGCCTTGGTGAAGCCCCACTGCTTTCGGTCTCTGTGCACTGATCTGCCTGTGGGCAGTGGTTCTGGAAACTGGGAGCCCACTGTGCAGCCCCAGGGCAGGGACTCTGCCCACGTTGTCAACATTGTCACCACCTGCCCTGGGCATCGAGCAATCTTGGCCACCTGACTCTGAGCATTGCCAGGGGCGGCTCAAGGTGGGGACGCTATTTGACCTGCCTCGCCCGCAGTGTGGGAACCTGTTGGTGCTTCTGCAGTCGCAGCTGAGACACCCTTCTCTCCCCTAACCCTGCTGGCTCTACTCTGGCTGGCGATGCCGGTGGGAACAGCGACCCAGTGGCTGCACGAGAGGCCACTCCCCCGCCGCGCCTCCTCTGAGGAGAGGACTGACCAGGCAGCTGCCCACTTCCTGCGGTTGAGGATAAAGGGGCTCCGAGGGGCTGCGGGAGAGAGCTGCCAAGTGCCCGCCGGGGAGAGAGCTGCTGAGTGCCCGCACGGTAAGGGCATCATCCCCTCCCTGATGCCTGCGGGTGGCTCCTGGCCCCCACCCCTGATCCCAGGTCTGAGTTCCCAGCCCGCACCCCACGCCCTCTCCCCGCAGATGCTGCTGCTGCTGTTCCTGGCCGTCTCCTCCCTGGGGAGCTGCAGCGCGGGGAGCCCAGGTGACTCCCGACCCCACACAGCCCTCCCTTTCCAGGGGCTCTGCCACCCCTGTCCCCAGGATCCAGGGCACACGTGCACAGACCAGCTTCTGCCCGAGGGCAGGTGTGGGGTGAGGCTTGGGTGGCAGAGGCTGGATTCCCTGACCTCCTCCCGGTGCTCCCAGTGCCCGTTCCCGAGAATGACCTGGTGGGCATCGTGGGGGGCCACAACGCCCCCCAGGGGAAGTGGCCGTGGCAGGTCAGCCTGAGGATCTACAACTACCACTGGGCGTCCTGGGTGCACATCTGCGGGGGCTCCCTCATCCACCCCCAGTGGGTGCTGACCGCCGCCCACTGCATTTTCCAGTGAGTCCCGGGCCGGGAACCCCAGCGAGGGGAGGTGGGAGTGGGGCCGCCGCAGTCCAGGCCCCCTGAGCAGCCCGGGTCCGTCCTCCCCCAGGAAGGACACCGACCCGTCCACCTACCGGATCCACGCCGGGGATGTGTATCTGTACGGGGGCCGGGGTCTGCTGAACGTCAGCCGGATCATCGTCCACCCCAACTACGTCGCGGCCCACCTCGGATTCGACCTGGCCTTGCTGCGGCTGGCCACCCGCGTGGGCGCAGCAAGCAACGTTCAGCCGGTCACCCTGCCGCCCGAGGCCCTGAACTTCACCCCGGAGGACGAGTGCTGGCTGACCGGCTGGGGCAGGACGTCCTACTACAGTGAGAAGGGCTGGGGGGCGAGGGGCGTGGAGGGGCGTGGGGAAGTTCCCCACTTTTCCCCTCCATGCCCATTCCTGGAGGCAGGTCCCTCGGGGGCTGGTTCACAAGCTCAGAAATAAATAGGACAGGGAAGGAAAGGAGCATCCCGCAGGTCCCAGCTGTCCCCCC